ACGGTCTTAATCCATCTCACATAATTTCTATGCTCACCAAATACAACCCATTCAGGTCTTAACCCTAACCAGTTTGATGTAATTTATATGCCCACCGATACAGCCCATTATGGTCTTAACCCATCTTGTGTAATTTATATGCCCACCGATACAGCCCATTATGGTCTTAACCCATCTTGTGTAATTTATATGCCCACTGATACAGCCCATTATGGTCTTAACCCTTCTCGCATAATTTCTATGCCCAATGAATATAAACCATTCAGGTCCTTATCCATCTTGCATAATTTATGTACCCATCATACCTCGCTCAAATAATTTCTTTGGCCACTGAATGCAACACATTCAGGTCTTAACCATTTTATGTATTTTTTATGACCACGGATACTGCCCATTGATGTCATAACTTCGCTCACATCATTTTTATGCCCACTGATGTGGCCCATTCTTGTCATAACTTCGCTCACATAATTTATATGCCCACTGATGAACCTCATTTATATCATAACCTCACTTACATAAATTTTACGCCCGCTTATGCGGCCCATTCATGTCAACTTTGCTCACATAATTTTTATGCCCACAACTTCGCTCACATAGATTTTATGCCCGCTGATGCGGCCCATTCATGTCATAACTTCGCTCACATAAATTACTTGCCCACTGATGCGGCCCATTCATGTCATAACTTTGCTCACATAATTTTTAAGCCCACTGATGCGATCCACTCATGTCATAACTTCACTCACATAATTTTTTATGCCCACTGATGAAGCCCATTCATGTCATAACTTCACTCACATAATTTTTATGCCCACTGATGAAGCCCATTCATGTCATAACTTCACTCACATAATTTTTATGCCCACTGATGAAGCCCATTCATGTCATAACTTCACTCACATAATTTATATGCCCACTGATGTGATCCATTCATGTCCATAACTTCACTCACATAATTTTTATGCCCACTGATGAAGCTCATTCATGTCATAACTTCACTCGCATAATTTTTATGCCCACTGATGAAGCCCATTCATGTCATAACTTCACTCACATAATTGTTATGCCCACTGATGAAGCCCATTCATGTCATAACTTCACTCACATAATTTTTATGCCCACTGATGAAGCCCATTCATGTCATAACTTAGCTCACATAATTTATATGCCCACTGATGAAGCCCATTCATGTCATAACTTCACTCACATAATTTATATGCCCACTGATGTGATCCATTCATGTCATAACTACACTTACATAATTTTTATGCCCACTGATGAAGCCCATTCATGTCATAACTTCGGTCACATAATTTTTAAGCCCACTGATGCGATCCATTCATGTCATAACTTCGCTCACATAATTTATATGCCCACTGATGAAGCCCATTCATGT